GGTCTACTAAACCAAAGATCTCAAGTTCGAATCCAATTCTGGTAGAACCAAAATAAATAAATTGTATCGCTTGTCTCTCCTTCTCGACGGAATGGCAGGCCGTCAGGAGTATATCTTGCTTCGAAACCCCCTCTACCTTGCCGTTCGGATTCGGCGTTAAACTGTAGGTTCCATGTGCTTGTGTACAACCTGCGTGCGCACCACAAGCACATTGGGGGAGGCCTAAGTCTGACTCGGACTGTTGCGTCATTGAATTGAAAAAATAGCATTCTATTAATTGAATTGTTATTAGTTGAGGTGAATTGGACTGCATGGAAGTGCATGGTTACTAACAGCTTCTTCAGATACTACTGTATCTTCAGATACGGTAGGAGCTGTTTCTAGCTATGGCACTGCTATGCAGCCCAGTTCACTTCATCTAACAATTTAATTAATAGAATGCTATTTTTTAAAACAAAAACTCATGGTTACGCAGTATAATAATGAATAATGATAACTTACAATTGCTTGAAAGTTTGTATAAAGAGAGCATTTACATTGTTTCGCAAACATGGCGCATTAATTTACTGAGAAAATAATACGTTTATAAAACACAATTATCTGAGAGAGATATAGTTACACAAATTATAATATTCATTTATAAAAAGCCCAAACCTCTCTTTTCATCGTGCCGATTGTACCGACACATAAGATGTACGGTAGTCGCGTGTGCTATCAACGGTCTGCGAAGGTAGGGGAAATTAAATTAAATTTAAATTAAGTTCAATTAATTAAGCCGCTTCTCCCGTGGGAACTACGCTTCTGTGCTCACTCGTTGTCCCTGAAATTCACCTCCTGCGAAAGGGCTGCCAGTGAGGATAGTGATCCTTGTTTGGCTCCGAATACGGAACTAATCTCTTTTAAATTAGTATTAAATTCTAAACGGTCCCGAGTCTGTATGCGGCGTTATTAAATTCCGCTGTGGTGCCACATGTTGCCGCGAAATTTTCTCGCTTCGAGCGAGTCGGCGCGGATCCGATGTTTTACACCGATCATAAATACGGTGGACTCCTCTATTACGTTCCGGTAGCGTTACGATTTCCGCGATATATGATGTAATCTTTCATCTCCGAAATTGTCTCGACAAGATTTAAAGACCGCTTCGAAACATCTGTGGATTTTTAATGATATGCTATTAATATACGTTGCGCACAGATTCACAGATCTATATTCGCAGATCTGTTCAACATTTTTAAAATATATACGAATTCGCAAAAAACGAATAATTCTGCGAGTGATGACTCGTAATATTTTGAACGCGATGAAACGGTACTGATTTAAATAAGTATGATCAAATTAGATTAAATGTAGGTATAAAAGAAATTAATTTTTTTCCGCGCAAGCACACAACTTGCTTGATACAACGGTGAATAATGAAAGTTTGATTTGATTTTGCATCATCAGTTTCCGGTTTCCGGCCATTATTTTCTTAAACCTACATTCCGCTACAATTTGATTTAGGATTGCATACGTCGGATCTGTAACCGATGCTGCAAGTGGCAGGTCGCAAGACACTGGCACCAAAAGAGATATACGATAACGACAGACAATTCGAGCGAGCTTTCGAAACGCCGTAGGTACCGTGCCAAAGAGCTGAGACTACCTTAGCCCGTTTCAGTAGATACTACGTGCACATACACACGTACATACTCACGTATATATGTACTTTGGTATTTAAGCAACCAATTACGTCGTATACCGAGCGATCGTAACGGAGGATCGTAATATGGAAGCGGCGACCGGTGCCGGTGCTACCTTATAAATTTCACAGAATTGGCTGCGCCGCGCCGAAGAGTCACGAGGCACGCATAGCCAGCAATAATGACACCGGGTGCGGTATTAAAATTTTCCCAAAATAAGGGGCGCCGCTACTATACATTACGCGGCGCGAATTTGCCCCATATGCACTTTTGCGCACTAACTACCAATAGTGCGACTGCAATATTTGCATTTCCGTAAAACGGACGTTTTAGGTTTGAAGAATGTAGATAAAATAAGCAATCAAGTATATAATTATATAATAAAATTGCTGCGTGTTATATCATTTAATTAATATAATCTATAACATGTCGCCACACTTTGACTATATGAGAACTTTCTTAGTGACAAAAAAAGATATTCTCTGTATATGAAAATTTTTCTTCTATTTTTATTTTCTCGTATACTTCGATATTACTCAACATTGATAATAAGTTTAAAAACATGATACATACGTAATATCAGTTACAAAATATTTCGCAATAAAACAATATTATTTATAGGTTTGGTTATTTATACGTGCAATTTTTTACTTGCGGGATTTCTTGGTTCTTTATCCAGAAGCACGTTCTAATGTGCTTCAAAGTTTCTTTTTACTTTAAAACAAGCGTAATTGTACCTTTGGAGTTTCTTTCTCGAAATAGTCGCAAACGATGTTCTTCTCTCGCGCACTAATAGAACGCATCTACGTGCATCGCGACTCGAAACTTGCAAAATATCTCTAAAAGTTGTGGCTGTGCATTGCGTCGAGGTCACGTTTCTGGCTAGAAGCTGGCCCCACGGAGAGAGACTGAAAAATGAATCTTCTCCACAGTGAGGCGAGATAGGTGCCGAGACGGTCATACATTTCGTACGAAAGGATCTTCCCGAGTTCGACTTTTTTTTTGGTAGGCGGGACTATTGCATGCCGACACGTAGAGCTGCTGCCTCTTCATATTTCATGACGATGAATTAGAAGCAGGCGTCGATGCCAACTTGGTAAAGTTATTTGTTCAATAATGGAACCAAAGTACATTCAATTCATTAAATATTGTATATATATGTATATTTAAAAACTTGTTTTTGTGAATTATTAGCTTCATGCTTTTTTGTCTCGTTTTTCTTTTTATTTTTTACTTTATTGCATGTTATTTAATTACGCATAAATAACGCATGTTATTTAATTAAAATAACATAATTAAGATAGACAAAACGATTTAGTCATCTAAATTGAGCGACAAAGCTATTTCGAGTAAATATTTATTGCACCAAGATAATGAAATTCTAACTTTAATAATCCATCTTTTGTACTTTCGGCGCAAGCTCTCCCTTTCTTTCGTACGTCATCCCAAATATAGCCTTACACAGTCCTCGGATTCTTTGTATTCCGACTACCTAAGTAAATAAATCACCGTACCATTTCAATATGTTCAACATCAAGCAGCGATTCAGCTAAATGAATAGAAGATGGGCACGTTGGTTATTACGTTGAAGGGTAATTTGTAAACACTCGATAGCAGAATAAAATAATTATTCGGTCATTGGCATAATAATAATTTATGATTCATTATAATCACAAACGTCTATGTTAATAAGTTAATTTATATAAGAAACATAATAAATATAAAAAGCGCAATATTAATCTTCTATAAGAGAAAATAATAAATGCACTAGAAGAAATTTATTATTTGCAAAAAAATAGAGATTTCTTTGAATTTAATTTTCTCAATTCAAATAAGTATTGGGTTTAAGAAAACATTTTTCTGAGTTTAAAATATTTTCTCGAATCTATTTAATACTTAATACTTTTTTAAATTAAGGAAACTAAATTCAAAGAAATTTATCTTCTTGCAAATGATACATTTTTTTTAGTGTAGAAAAAAATTTATATTAAATATAAAAGATAAAAAGCAATGTGTGTTAATAGTATATGTTCAGCATTATACATAGAGCTATGCCTTTGACGAAACGATTAGCCTATCGCATATATACAGCGAGAGCCTACAGGGAAAGACGTGCTGTGCAGAAAGGGGTCGCGGCTTGAAGTACGGGATAAATACAGGCGATGTTAATAAAGTCTTATCGGCGCGAGGCCATGCGTGTCGACTTAAAGCCATGGACACACTAATCCGCTATGCTAATGTCAGTCAGGCGGGAAAATAGTCGAGTAAGGTAATGCAGTCTTCCATGTCACGCGTATCTGCATAGAGAACGACGTATATGTACTTGACTACGTATTAGGACAGTAGGATTCTGGTTAAGATGGCTCCGAGAGAGCCACGCGTATACTCAAGCTTCTATGACGTGGGAAATAATCGCGTACAAAAGTAACTGCAGCTTTCACAGAAATGGTTAACAAGAATTAAAGTTTTTCCAAGCACCATTTTCATCGTATCTTATCCCCGCGGTAGTTTTCGATGACAAATACTCGTGTATCATGAAGGAACAGACCATACACACAGGAAGAAATGAGAACAAGAGAGGAAAAAAAACGAGCGAATTCAGCGTTGCAGATTCGGGATATCATATTTACGACGCGGACACGACGTAATCCGGAACATTGTATAATGCGTAGCAAATCAGAAAGGAGAAAAAGATTCGATGGCAGATAGTCTTGCGAATAAAATCCGAGCTGACGTAACGCAGAAGCATTACGTACAGCGTAACGTATCTCATCTCATAGTGACTTGTGTGTATATCTGTCTGTATTTCATGCATTCCTTTTATAAATCTTTTTCTCCTGAGATCTCACGAGTAACTCGGATATTTGATTCTCCTCTCCTATCCTCCTTGTCTTTTCAACAATTATCATCACGTGTAAGAAAAATAATAAAGATGTTACAAGATATTGTGTAGAATATTGGCAATTGTTATTTATTGAATAAAAATATCGCGGTAACAGAATTACGCAAAATTTTAAATATCCGTAATATCTACAGAATAAAATTATATAAAATTATAGCGGTACCTTTCAGTACAATATATTAACGCCGATTAATCAGTTATGCAGCATGTTGAAAAATATAATTCATAAGATTTTAATACATATAAAAAATAAATTAATAACAAATTTTTACTCTTTTATAAAATTTATAAACTTCTTGCATAACTTGTAAAATTTTGCTATTTCCATTTAATCCATCTATATAGATTACTAATTATTACAAATTATCGAGAATTTGCATGCATTCCTATTTATCAAACTAACTGTAAATTAACCAATATATATAAGAGAGAAACTCGGAGAGAAACTATTTGTTCATTCACATTACATTTATTCAAATCCAATGCGAACGCATCGAATCTTTTATGTCTGTGCTCTTGAGCTAGTTACTGCATTATTATAAGACATTATTTTTAATATTTACTTAATCTTTTTTTGCAAGTATGACTTCCTATAGTAATCTAAGAACATATAGAACATGAATGCTACTTGAGACATGTAAATGTATGCTAATGGTTTCCGCGTTGGTTCGCAAGACGGTAGAAGCGCTTGAAAGGTATGGACCGTCATAATAGCAAACTGAATCTGAAACAAATAATATAATGTTGAAATTCAACGTAAGAAATGAAGAAAAGACACACATCGCATGTTTACAACAATCATTTCGCGCGGATCTTTTTACAGCTAAATTAAAGTTTGCAAATGCGAAATACCTACTCATAAATGGGAATGGAGTCTAAAAGTACCTAAAGCGTTTCATTAGGGAATTATTCCGAAGAAAATGTAAATAAGTATTCGCGACGCGAGCAATGTAAAAGTAGTAAGGACACACAGTGTTCATATAGTGCACGCTTGACAGGCTCAATATACCACATGCAAAAAAGCACACACCATTTTGCCTTTCCTTGTCCAACCTCTGACCGGAATTCTAGAACGCAAAAGCTCCGCGCGAAATTAAACAACCACGTAACCCGATAAATCGTTCCGTCGATATCGCTGGAAATAAAAATTCTCTGGTAACGGATTATTTAATTAAAAACGGTACTGCGAGCTTTCGTCCACCCGTCTCCCTGCCCCTCGCTGTTACGCTCAAATGCAAACCGAATTGAGATTCGACGAGAACACATGTGATTCTGCAAGCAGCGCTTACGGAGCTTTTCAATCCCTCGTGAAAAGCCAGTTATCGAGTTATAGGAGCGCTGTAACCACAATGAAGTCCGCGTATATGAACATATCACGCGAAACGCGCTATTTCATATGTCCGCATGAATCTGATATAGGCACGCTATGCTTCTCAAAACTATCACAAATCGAATGTGGAAACCTTATTATCTTGAAATTGCGATGGCTAAAAATTTATTGGAACTTTGTACAACGCCATATCGTGTAACGAATATAAACAGACGTAAAATATAAGTACGTACCAGTTGCAAACGAGTTACATATTTCTTCCACGGAGTTATTATCTTCTGTGTTTTTGGTCCTAAACAAGCACAGAGATAATACATGTACATAACTACATGTACTGCGCAATTGGGCAACATTACAAAGGTCCACATGCCACCTGTACATTAGATAAAATATGAAAGTAGATTGTCATATATAATTAGAATTAAATCAATATGTAGATATACACATATTTCAGTACTCGATATTGTTTTTGGAAATAAATTCCATAAATTGCAAAAGTTTCTTCTAAAATTATCATAATTACTGCTGTCTAGTGCATACCAGGTGCATATTTACAGGTGATCCACGCCAAAACGAGAGTCGCTGTATGATGATACACGTGAAGGAAAGAAATTTGATTATATTTCTTTCTTAGAATAAAAATGACAGTATCTGCAAGCTCGGCAATTTTCAGAATTAAAATCCACCACATCCATCGAGCCATCTTTAAATAATAAAATTTCATATATCTCGAGTGTTTCTGTATTAAATACTCTTATATCGATTGAGTTTTAATTTCATTTATGTTAAATTACAAATCTTTGTAATAATTAGTCAAAGTTTTAACGTAGGTTTTAATGAGCAATAAAATACATAAGTTAATTTTATCATAGATTTTAATTACAATTACTTACGCTAAGCGACATAGAATCGTCTGAGATCACAAAGGGCTCACATCCCATAGAAAGATGCGTTGTATAACCAGATGTGAGTATCTAAAAAACAGATAAGATTATAGTTTAGATTAAAAAATGTAAATAGAGAAATATGAATAGCGAAATTGAAACATCCATAATTAAAAAATTTTATCTTGCGTATATTAAATTATTTATTTATTTATCATACTCACACCATAGAATAAAACAGCGCTTGCAGTTGCAATAGAAATATTATAACATATCATAGTTTTGACGAGCGCGTGAGGTTTTCTGTCTTTCATGTAAAGTGGTCCGAAATAAAGCACAAAAAACAAATAAGCGAGTGAAATCAATACTATACCAAACGGATTTGACATAAAGGGCCAGTCAGAAACTCTGGGATCTGCAAATCGATAAAAAAGTTTTAATTTTGGACAATAAAACATTTGAAATAATATATTTAAGCTTGCGAAAAAGATTGTAGCAATATAACTCGTAGAAAAATATGAAAACTTATATAATTGCTAAAGAAAAGGATTAAAGATTATATTATTTAATATGGAGATTTTTTTCGATATACTCAATTAAATAAGTACTTTTCTCCGCGTAAATATAATATTATACGCTGTCAATTAATATGTACTTATTTTTATATACACGTATTATATAATATTTCATATTCAATATCATCTTTTTCATAAGCTTTTTTATGACATTCGTTCTCGATCTAATTTATTCGTCTAACTTACCCGAAATTTCATCGACAAGGTAATGATAAATATCCATAACTCCCATATCCTGAAGAATAAAGGCAGTTAAAGGAAAGCAAAGAGCGATTATATTGTTTCACGTTAGCAATAGAGTAAATAAATTCAAGGAAAATTTGATGATCGATAAACATGTAGAAGTTATATAGGGATGTATAAAATACATTACATTATAGATATGAAGTTACAAACGGATATCGCACGTGATAGAGGGAATAAAGTTATAAGCGAAACTCCCGTAATCATCGAACTTCTGTCACGCAGTTGATTGCTAACATCGACTGTACTGTATAGTGTCGGGTCAGCATTTTACCGAAATATCTATGCCGGATAGATTTGATTTTAAATAAAATGAAAAAATATTTCGAATACAGAGACATGACAATTTATTAGCAAACAGATTTAAAGGGCAAAAAATGATTTTTTGCGCTTGTTAATTATAGTATAGATTTAATCCGATCTTTTATATTTATATATATAAAAGTTAACGAGTCGCTCGTATAATCCTCTAAAAACTAATTGCTGTTAACGCCTTGAAATAAATCTATTGATTATTTTATTCAATATTGCGATGGTTATATAGCAATAATGTAATTTGTGATCGATAACGTTTCTAGATACACCGAAAAGAAAATTTATTATTTGCAAAAAAATAGATTTCTTTGAATTTAGTTTTTTTAATTCAAAGAAGTATTGGGTAAAGAAAACATTTTTCTGAGTTTAAAATTAAGAAAACTAAATTCAAAAAAAGAAAATAATTTTTTTTCCAGTGTATATATATTTTTTATATTATCAAGTAATATTTTAAATACAGTTTTATATTATTGCATTATAACATGCATAATAATATTATATTATAAACACCTTTTGTTTATATTTAAAATCTAAAATCATGGAATATAATATATGCGTAATGATATGGGATCACAAAATCATTAAGCTTTCGGAGGTCAAAACTTTACTAATAACGTAAATTAATGGAATGGTATAGAGATGTATTAAAAATTAAGTATTGAAGTATACAATTAAGACACACACCTTTGAAGAAAGATTTGGCAAATTCTTCCCACATTGTGACTTTAATTTGTGCATGTCTATCGACATTTAAGAAACTAACACTTGTGTAAAACTAATATATTGATGTTAACAACCCGTCGTGTCAGTACCCTACTGCGCTTTACGTTCATCTGCAGGCCAAGAACCCCTAGCGTCGGCTTAGAACGCAGGGTTGTAATTGATGAACAAGATGCCCCCGTGAAAAATTTATTGCCAAACACCGCCAAAATACGCGTTAAATAAGAAAGAATAATATAATGAAATTATTCAATAAAAGTCATGTATTTTTCTCTTACATAATGTTAATATATAAAATATTTTACAATTTATATCTCTTAATACATTAATAATTTCTTCGGTATTTTTATTTTACATGAGGATATTTTTGCGTGGGCATTATTTGCGAATCAAAAAGAAGTTCATGGATTATTAAGCACATTTTTATCTGATTTAATGTATATTTAGTATTTTATTATGTAATAATTCTCATTTTAATAACATTTCCTATATTACATTTATCAAATTATCATATTGGCATAAATTCTGAAAGGCGGTTTAAATATATTAGATTGATCAACAATGATATAATATCGAAAATTTATGTTTATATAATGTTTCACGCGCAAAAGTGTGAATGCGAGTATACAGCCATGGTGCATGGCGAATTATATTCCAGTATAGATGTACGGCTTCTTCTCTTAGTCATTTAAATGTGGATTAGCCGACTTTGTACTTGTCTCGATATTATACGATTCGAGTTGAGAAGATAGTCACGAATTGACCTTCTCTTAGTATTAGAAATTTACTGCTCGACCTCCCTTAATCAGATCATCCAACTACTGCGTTTCGCATAATTGAACCGAACAAATTGATTTCCGTGTCCGGAATTCGTTATTTCTTCTTCCTTTCCTCTCTCTATAGAAATTGAAATGCAATACTTATATATTTTTATATTTTTATACTTTTATATTTTTGCAAAGAATTTGTTTCTGATGAGAAGAAAGGATGACACTATTATTAAATTTATATAGAATTCATATACATCTAGAAGATATATGTATCTATGCAATATATGTATGTATATATATTATGATGATTTATTTTATAATATTAAGGAAACATAAAATATTTTGAAAATAATTACTAAACGATATAAAAAGTTTAAAAAAATATTTATAATGCACTGGAACCAGAATTTCGGAATATTGAATGTCTATAAAAAATTTACATTAAACCTCGTCTAAATATTTTCTAAACTCTTGAAATATATATTAAATGCTTCTGTTCGTCTTTTTTTTTTTTTTAATTTTTAATGCTAAATGGAGAAAAATTATATTTCTGATGTAATGATTGACAAATAATCATTAGACTATTTTTCTTTTAGTTATGTCCTCCTTTATTTCTGATGTAATGATTGACAAATAATCATTAGACTACTTTTCTTTTAGTTATGTCCTCCTTTTTTTACTTTGGTATTAGTTAAACAAAAGAAATGAGAACAATTAAATAATGCAGATATCTACATGATTTAAAAAGAATGTATATAAACATTTTAATCTCGATTTTAGTATATTGTAAGAAAATATAATTTGAGACTTTTCATCGATGCCATCTATCTATTTCAAGAGTAACATTATTAAAAGCTTACTGATAAAATATTTACTATCAATCGCTATTAAAAGAATATTTAGTTATAACATAAAATTATTTGTGAACAAATGCTGTGAATAAATAGCAATTAATTTTTTTATAGAGTATCATATATTTATCTTTAAATTCTTGAAAATATGATATTATCCACTGACGATAGAACCTTATTGTTAGAAAAAGGCACGTACAATTCAAAATTTATTTGTGCACTGGTGAGACTGGACACAGTCGACTGAGGGTCGAAAGACACTCGAACAATGATTGGCAGATTGATGGTATAAACTCTTTATTTCGAAATAACTAAGATGTACGATGGGCGCTCGCTGTTGTCAGACTGACTGGTAAAACTGTACGATTTATTACATCCAACCGTATGACCGTATATGACCTCACATATATTTGTCACGAATTCATGTGTTTGAACCAATTAAATCCCTAATGCCCGTATAAGGAAAAGATTTAGCTTGTTGACTACTAAGACAGGTGAATCTTGCATATGCATGTGAGATACCGAGGGTATCTCATACAGAGGGTTCTTAACGATAAGAGATAATAGTTAATGCATTCTGCAACACTCTTCTTTACCGACAGAAGTTTATATAGGGCTTATAGAAAATGTTGTAACAACTTTTCTTATATTTATAATATCTTCAAGAACATATTATCAAACAATTTATTATACATAATATATATGTATATAACATTCCTCTTTCACTTTAAATCAATTATGATAATGCAATCTTTCACATGTTTATATTTAAACAAAAAATAACATATAGCATATTTTAATTATTAAATTATGAATTTTTCCATCATATAAAAAAATTAGAAATTTGTATCGATAATTGCAATTGAGGTATATATTAATATCCTAAATGTAAATAATATTCAATATCAATAGTTCAAAGTTTAGAAATTTCCATCTGAAATACTATTAACCCTTCAAGAAACTCTGGATCTTCCTTCAAGATCTTGAAGAGTTAATAAGTGAATACATATTGTGTGAACATTTTATAATAGGGATGGATAATATATGCATAAGTATACTGGTAAACACTTGAAGCATATCATGTAAGCTTTTAACTTATAGACAGTATAGCTTAGGGATTAGCTTAAGTCATAAAGTACAAGATGCACGTATGAAGGGAGAATAGGGGAAAAAATGCTTAGGGAGGCTACTTTCATAGATATTTGCATAAGTGGCTGCATCTAAAATTTGATAAAGGGGACAGAAGGAGCACTTTTAAAGCATGTCACTTTATCTTGTGTATGTGTGTGTGTGTGGTTAAAGATATATTAAAAATGCACAAAAACATAAAATATCTTGATCGATGATTTTAATTATCGCTATCTTTAATGATATATATTAAATGATAAAAGGAAATGTGTCTTACGATTAGAGTCTTAGAGAAGCATGAATTTTTTTAAAATATATGGAACTACTTTTTTTCTACGAGTTTATTTATAAATTTATAAAAATAAATTACATATTACTGTCACATGTACACACCTAGTGAGCATATACAGAGCAATTCTCTTACCTGTTAGGAACAAAATAAAGTTACATTTTAATATTCTTATATTAAGTTTCTTTTGTCACAGTAGTTTTTATCAAACATCTTCTCTCATCCCTTGTAAATCTCTAATGGTGATAAGAATTAACTTAATATGAGCGTTAGTTCTTGCAATCGCGCTTCGTAAATTCGCGATTTGTTGCTCAAGTAACTTAATTCGTATATTAATAACGACTAAGGCTTCGCCCAAAGTGAATTCAATGTAGTGCCCCAAACCAACATCCAATAAGATCTTAGAAGCATCTGGAACGTGTGCTTGAATAAAGAAGTTATTTCCGATATCGACTTTGGTCTTGAATCCGGTTTTTTCGACATTTGTATTTTGAAACGTTGTTATCATCGATTTCAGTTGCAGAAATTCGGTGACGTCAGTATTCCTAGCGTCTAGTTTTTCGGCCAATTTCGCAAGGTCGGCTTTCAGTACGTCGTTTACGAAGGTCTCAAATTGTAAGACCTTTTGCTGAATTTGCGGATCCATAATTAATTATAGGCCCCCGCACTACAAAACAAAAGAACGAAATTAGTTGAAGTATAGAACGGCTTGTTTGTAGAAAGATTTAATATGATGCTTGGGAAAATATGCTTAAATATTCATGCAGTAATAACACGCGGTTGTCTAAGGTGAGGGAAGAGGAGAGAAGTACCTAAATATATTGAACAATCGAATGTCGAATATAACAGGTTATGTTACATATAACAACTTCACACGTGTATATCGTTTGCACTTTATCTTGTATGATGATGATAATGTCACTCACATTATCGGATTTGGATTAAAGTGTGCCAAAGCCAAAGAAAATCGAATTATAAATCTGGTAAATAGAATGACATTTTTACGTTCTACTTCGATCGTGTGTGGCATTATTTTGATTTTGACAACATTTTGACCTAGCGCCCCTAGCGGATCTAGTAGTAAGCAACAAGTTCAACAGAGATGAAGCAACAGCTGCTAAGGAAGGTCCCGACCAGTTTAGTTTATCGATTTTTTAAGTTAAAAGAAAGATATTTATTAAAAAATTATTCAATTCTTGTTTTATATGAAGTATATGCAATTTATTCTATTTTTATTTACACATATCAATACTAACGACATATAGATACATTAAATAACATTAAATAAAATTTATTTTTTATTTAATATTTATAATTAAGTGCTTTAGTATAAATAATGAATTTTATACAACATAAAAATTTATGTATTTTAACCATTCTATAACAATATGATAAATTTAATGTATCAAATTATCGAAAAATGAAAGCTAATATACCATGTATTTGATTACATTTGGTATTAATAATAGATATTTTTGCTGTTAATTTTAATTTTTGGTGAGATTATTATTAATAACGTTTATTATTATAACGTATATATAACGTATTAAATTATTATTAATACGTTTTGAGAAAATCTCACGTAAGTATCAGTAATGTTAGAATTTGCATTAGTTCTGAATTTCGTATAAGAACGAGCAAGCTATGTTACAAAATTATTTAATGTCCACTTTATCGAAGATTATATTCCACTTTTTTTCCGATAACTACGACACGATATCGGCAATATATCGTCGGTAGTCTTTTGCATAATTGTATAGGATGCTGCTCGATTATACAGTATACGCACAGCGTACCCGTGCGTAGCACTTGAATTGGAAGGTATATATAATAACCGGTACTTACGATAACCGCACACAATGTTATATTCTGCGTATACGTATTGTATATATACATATGTATAACACTTAAATATAAATACATTTATATGTTAAAAAATGTATATGTATATATACTATGTACATATTTTTTAATGTATATTACATATTACCGAATTGCTAATAATAATCTCAAATTGTTTGTAAGTTAACCCTTTGCGTTTCGCAGATTTTGCAACGTTAATAATTTACTTCGCGCACATAGTTTTAAGTCACGCGCAGACTTACAATGCATATTGTATATCTCATACTTATTTGTGTAGGTATATTAAGAGAGAAATAATATTTTAGCAATGTTACTACACCAACAGAGTTGGCATGTGGAGTAGAACGCCAAAATTCTTAAAGCCGAGGTTGGCACTTAAAACACAGAATTAAAATAGCAATGAGACGATACATACGTATATTTATGATTACAATATTTATATACAAGATATTTGCGAAAGGTATACATATGTATATGAATATATGTAATGTATACACTGTGCCGTGCACGATGCTGTTTTTCATGTTCTTTCATTTACTTTCTCATTTGCAGTAACTAAAGAGTTGCGCACATAACGTCGTCGTATATATCAGACAATTACGAAACAGACTCTTTCAATTAATAAATATATATTAAATTGTATTTTTGATGTACGGTAAAGTGACGACTACATGTATACGATAATTATTATGCAACGGCACATTATTTATTTGGTAAAACCAATCGTTGCGTAACGGGATTGTTCCGACAATAACTGACAATTTAACGAAAATACGGAAAATATTCGCGGTATGATAATAAGAGATGGTTTGATCTGGAATGGATTAAGAAAAATGAATGTGTAATCGGATTGGGTCAAGAATGACGTATCTTTAAAACGCTGTTCGGTACGGTGCATTAATTATATTGCAAGATTTCTTGTAACTAATTTTGTACGGTGACCACAGCGAAACCGGGACTCAATAGCCGGTTTGAGTAACGAAAGCGCCGGTATACGTGTAACGGGAAGTTCTCTTTTTCGAGAAATAAATTATTTACGCCAGTGAAATATGATCGCGGAAAAGACGACCATTCGTTTATCGTTTTTCCATATAGCGACACCAGTTTATTTTGGGACTTTTTCGCTAACATGTCGTTCATTCGGTTTGAACGAAGCATGTCGTTTCATTTTAATAACGAGGCACAAAACAAGACCAGACAATCTCGCGATGCATCTCGCTCACGCTATTCTGCCATGACTTAGCGAAGTATTTCGAATATTCGTTTTGGGATTGACCGATACAAATGGTTCATTCTGTCTAAGTAAAAAAACCCATACCGAAACTTTCGATCCACATTTACGCGCAACGGCCGATAGGAGTGGAGACCGCCTCAATTGTGTTTTGCTTCGATATTTTTATAGTTTATTATTCGCGTCCATCCCGCGGCAAAATGATTGTATAGCGTCGATGACTTGCGTTCAACGTCCCGGTACGTTATGGTGACGAGATTTTTTCAACGATCATCGACGATATTACAACGAGTGGCGGCATTAATTCTTTACTGGCGCGTGAGGATTTATGTTATAAACTTTTATATAACCCCGTGTATATTACTTATATTTTTGTGCCATTCTTTACAATTTTTATCTTTTATAATAATTTAAGATTCTTTAAATTAAAACAATTTTTTTTATTTTACGTGTGATGAAAGTATTTGTGTTATGAATAGTACATTATAATTTAACAAATTGACCATCGAGACTTTTAATACCGATTCTCCATCAAGTGCTCACCGCACGACATGGCTATACGATTTTGTATAAATACTCCGGTTTTATATACTTCTGTCCAGCGGGAGGTCGGCGAATCTTACGGAACAGCACTGCTGATTACAGAAACTAAAACGCAATAAAGTGTTCTTGATGAAATAACGACGTCTAAGTTCTCCACATTCGTTCGCATTACCGTGACAAAATTTAAATTTGCACAGGCGGTTCGAGTGCGCGAACAAAAGTCGGCGAATTTCGCGGCTAATTAATCGGACCTACCACCGGCCGAGAAGACACTGTTACTGATGAACCGATATCGCGTCGGAAAGTGCGTTGCACGCATTCTCTCACGGCCACGGCATTCAGGGCCACGTGCAGGCTTCATGGACCTCGTAACCGGTATTCAAGAAAACACGAACATTTTTTTTTCTCGCGGCATCACCGGCGACATTGAAGACACGACGAGCGCTTATTGCCCGCTTATAAGAATTCCGTTTAATTTCTTATCTTTGGTGTGCAGTGTTCGCGCAAGCATAGAGTAACGTAGGTGTATCGCACCCTTTTACGAGCACCATTGCGCACCAAGCGAGGCACCAAGATTGCTTGTCAAGGCTATCTGACAGTATCCGCGATATAACTTGTGATTTACATCCGAGATAATAATTTAGTTGTGCTTTAGCGATTTCATAAATTACTAATGTCTTGCAGTTTGCCTTTTGGTAAAGTAATTAAACGAAGTATAGGGGTAAGAATAATTATTCGGTCTTTAACTCTTCCTATAAAAGGAAATCTTCAAAATACGTGGATGTAAATCGCTTTTTATGGCATGTTATAATTATGGAAGCGATTCCTCCGTTCATTAGGTCTGCGATCTAGAAAGTAATATAATTTATCATAAATTGATAAATCTCTTTAAAGACTTTATTACAGAGTAAACCATATAGAGACGTTAGCTCATAGAGCGCAATACTTTCCTTTATGTTTAGTACTATAATTATCAATCGTTCCACGTTTAATATCACGATATATTTTGAAATATATCCACAAGAGAGCATTTCTCTTGAGGTCTATTGCAACCAATAATCGCTAAGAGCCAATCGTCCAACGTATGTGGCTGGCAACGTACATCCCAAAATGAGGCATTCTTATTTAACAAAGGAATAACTGAATTACATTCAACAATATTTCTTAAACGGTTTAATGGTACATTCTATCATCCTGTAAAGAGATATGCCGGTGATGGACGCCCCAGACAAATTATTTTCTTACATGCTTTTTCACGTCGGAGGACTGGCAGCAGTGTTCTTCCCTCAAGCGAGGGATAACATCGTGTCCGCAACAAAATGCGCAATGGTATACGTGAATGCACGCATACCATATACGCGATGAATGTATACACACGTGTGTTGTGCATTAAGTGGAAATGGCGCGGTGCGTGCGGCAGGCACATCGTAACTGAACCTAAAAGTTGTGCAGATTCATGCATAGGCCTATAAAAGTCATCGCAACGTTTAAATGTGGCATCCAGGGATAAACGTGTTGCTTATATAGTGCAGAAATACTCCACGACCGCGCCGGGATGCTGTAGCGCTTTTATACGTCTGTACGTCTCCGAAAGACGGCCTCGTTCGTATAGTTTTCCCGCGGCGAGAAAGCCGGATAGTATTATCTTGTCGCGCCGATCGTGTTGTCCTTCAAAGACGAAGATTGCAACTATCTGGATCGGCGGCGAGGCCGGTATTAGTCAGATTTTATATATAAAATTGTATTAAGTTCGTCTTTAGATACTCCGTAGCCAACGAAACGAATCGTACAGCAATAACTGACTATATACAACTGACTTTCAGATTCGGTATAAGACTCGCTTTAGAACGAGAGGAAGGTATTATAGACTCGGCGATCATGACGAAGCGCAAAGTAGCATTAACAATGGTGGTCCGTCATACAATCGAATATCTTTCGATCAAAGTTTTGCCTTTTGTCGAACGATCGAACGATTTGTCGAACGGATTCAATTTCTGAGCCGCGAAATACATATAACAAGATATGTATATATAACTTTCATAGAAAGTGAACGCTTTGTATATATTGTATGTATATCAAATCATTTAGTCTCATTTATTAATATTAAATTCTTTAGCATTTAGGAAGTAGCAAGTATATCTATCTTAAAATTATATATTGTTATATTATAGATATCGTTTTTTTACTTTATAATTTTTTTAAATAAATAAAAGAATTATTGGGAACAAAATTGTGCAGCATCTAGTTAAAAAATTTAAAATATTTGTAAGACGTGTCACTTTTTTTTTATTATGTATTTATTTTAAATTCTCATACAATCTCATACAATAAGAAAAATATTAAATGCAAATACGTATTCGCGATTATATTATGTTTTTAAACTTATTATCGAAAGGCTCA